TGACTCGGAAATGGTGGCCTCTGAAATTGTAATGTTTTCACTGCATTATCTACTACTTCTAGTAATTTAAAATCTGAAACAGCTAAGGTTGCAGATATTCTTAATAAAAGCTATAATGAACATAATACATTATCCTTGTCGATTGAAACTATACATTATAATTTTAAGACCTTAAATTTAATTTCAAAACAGTGAAACTTTTGGGTAAAATAAATCTTACCTCATTGCTGCAGACCTTTTTACAGAGAGCAAACAAGCTGTCATTTCCAAAGGCTTTTTGCAAGGCAACCATTTCATAGCAACAACATCCAAAGCTCCATATATCAGACTGTAAAATTCAAAGCAGGTATTAAGGAAGGCCCACACTTTTACGGATCCAGTTCTAATTTTACACATCATTATAAAATTCTGATTTTCACTTGTCTATTGATATAAAATCTTTTTGGGTGATTAAAAATGATTTAGCAAGCATATATTTGTTTATTATAGTGTTATTGTGCATACAATTTAGCATTTGATATACATTATTTATGGAAATTAACTCTTTGCACTCTGTCCACAAGATCTATATGTCATTTAGTACACACACATGCAGACACAAATTCTTAATTGCTTTTATGGACCTAAATCTTTTCAATTTTCTTATAAGCAAACTAACCTGAGATCTACTTTTATTGATTGAGAGGCTGTATCATCCATTTAATTTTTACTTTTTACAAATTTTGCAATTATAATAGAACAAAATGATATTCCAAAACTGGGGGTATACGTCTTCAAAAGACTGTTTTGTTAAAATTCTCTGGTCAACCATAATGAAGTATGTGTTTTTGTTAACAATAGATATAATTCTTAATAGTTTTAAAGAAAAAATGGCATCTAAACAGTTTGGATTTTGAGAATTATAAAAAATAAAGATATTTTGAGATTTTTTTCTGAAAGACATGGACAGATTCAACATCAATTTGTTAATGTTTTGCAGTAAAGATTTCAAATATTCTCTTGGCAAATGAATATTTTTGATCTTCATAAGTTTTAACATAAATTTGATGTGATTTGGCGATAACTAAATGAAATATATATCATACTTCTTTATGTTCAATTTTGGCTGTTGAGTTTTTAGAGGTATGTGCTCTGAGACATATATGAAAATTAACCTGCAAAGGTATGTCTTTTATGGGTGTTTTAATTAGTTTAAGACTTATTCAAGGTATTCAAATTAAAAAATTATCAGTTTGACAGAAAATTCTGAAAGTACGGACCTACCTTAAATAAACTTTTTAAAACTCAGTAACATATTATATGCTGTGGGTATAACTCTGTTGCTTAACATGCTCAAGCCTTCTTTGCACAGAGGATTTATAAGGCACAAACCCTTCTGTTCCCTATCCCCCCTCCACCAATAATTGATTCTGAACCCCGCCAATGCTATTGCTATGGTTATACAAGATAAAAAAAATTATAATCATGAACCTCCTCCGATAATGGAAATCACTGGTTCAAATTTGTCATAAGTCTGATACATATATTAGTATCTGTAATGAAAAGTTATACACATTACTTACTAAGCTACTTCGTACTTACTTTGTGGTTATAGGGTAAATGTTTGAATAATTCTGGGCTCATGTAAGCAGGTGTCCCGACAAAACTCTCCGCTTTACTTTGATTCAGCTCAAGTAACCTAAATGTAACCAACAATGCATTAGAAACACTGTAACAGACAATTGTACCTTTTTTGGGAGGTAAATTTGTAAATTGCTCATCAACATAAAGTCGATCATTATAAATCTTTATCCACAAATTTACATACTGTACCAAGAAAACCTGAATAAATAAATGAAATACGTAATTTAATGAGATTAAGCTAAATAATTCTAATAAATATTAATCTTTAGAATACCTATCTTCAATCTCTACATCAATTATGAACAAAATCACAAAATAAATTTTGATTGATGCAAGGCTCATGGACAGTGTATATACATACATTCTGAGTAATAACCACATACTGGACTACTTACTTTGCGATGCCTAGGTCTCCCAGCTTCAGAGAAAGGTCACTCATCAGGAAAATATTCTTGGCTTTCAGATCTCTGTGGAGAATCTTCTGTCCGTGAAGGTACTGATAAACAAACAAAAGACATAAAGTATTAACTTATAATGGCTACAGACATAATAAGTCACGTTCACATGTGTGCACTTAAGGCCTTAGAGCAGTGAAGGATCTTTTTAATGCCAGCACCTACTGTGACAGAGGACATAATTTGATATGGTATTATTCAAAGAACCAGTGTCTCCACACAATGTAAGGATCAAGTCCTTATTCTGAGACTCACTGTGCCAAGCAAATGACCACATGTGCTAGTGAAGATATATGTGCAAGTAAAGGAAAAGTTAATGAAACATGTACATTCACTCACAAGATTTACTTTTGCAACTGTATGTAAGAACAATACTCTATCTTTATAGCTTGAGACTAAATTCATAGACAGGATACATGTACATGCATAAGGTTCTCAAGGTCAGACGATGCAAGAAAGTGTTCAAGAAAATTTTAAAATCTGCCAATATATGTACTGCATATGAACTTCAATTGTCTTAATATATAACCCCTAGTAGTACCAAGTACTATATCACAAAAAATTATCTGTGGCATGGAGGCATATAGAAATTAAGAGCTAATGAGTATATATATCTCCTGGTTGTACATGTATTTAACCTTGTGATTCAACTTCTAAAAAAGATGAAATGCATATATCTTTAATGAACTATATATGTAAACACATTCTAATTTAAAGTAAAAGATGAATTTCTACACATACAATAACAAGATGTGTACCTGTAGTCCTGATGCTATCTGGTAAATCCAGTGACAGATTCGAACTTCAGGCAGACTCTTCCCATTTCTGTTCCTTAAATACACCTCAAGGTCACCCCCATCACAGTATTCTGTTACTATATTTAGACACTCGTCATCTTCAAATGATTCGATGTAGTTGAGAATGTATTCGTTTCGTACCTTGGACAGAAGTTCTGCTTCTCTCAAGGCCTGTGTTCGCTCTGACTCTTGACCCTGAAAGTTGATTCTTTTCACAGCATACTGCAAAGAAAGAACATTGTTATATTTTCAATTTGTACCCAATACAATGTTTATCACGTACATTACACACTTAAGGCATGCCAATTTTTTTTTTTTTTAAATAAGAGAATAAAATTGAAGAACTTCATTGTGTTTTAAAAAGCTCCAAACATGACAAACAATGTAACATGCTTTTTGTAAGTATGAATTTGAATATAATTAAGGTTTTGCAGATTTCGATCTGAGCAAAGTTTGCATGAAGATTGAAACGAATTACATAAAAAGTAATTAGATATTTAAAGCTTCTTTATTTATTTATATTCTATTAGTTTTAAACAAATAAAGGGACATTGGGGAAGTAAATATATAGAAACATGGAAATGTGTAAATGTCAGCATGGTACTATACAGAATGGGGGAAATCCCTTGCAAACCCAGGTATGAGGTGACGTAGCAAACAATGAACATGTTACAAAATTCGATATACAGAAAACAATTTCAGAGGACAATGATATGATCATCATCTGGAGATTGTCAATCGAAAAGTCAATATATTAAGACCTTCAAAATCGGAATTCCCGCTGATAACTTATTACCCTTCGATTCTCCTTGTCCTTGATCAGATACACAATGCCGAAGGATCCGTTGCCAAGAATCGCTTCAAACTCTAAAACTACCTCCTCCTCCTCCATAATAACATCTTTCAGAACTCTTTATTTCTTTCCGGGGTTTAGTTGTGACATGTTGACATTTTGCACATGGGTGAATGGCTTCCTCGAGATTGTAAACAAATTGATCGACGTCGGTGAGGTGTTTGAAATTTTGCGTTGACTAAAATCAAGAATCCTAACTGTTATGAGAAAAAATCGATTTTCATTTTGATTTTAAAAAAAATTTAAAGGTTCTTACATACATTAATACAATGTTCTTCAAGGATTTTGATTTTTTTTAAAAGATCATTTCAATTAAACATATATTTTAATTTGATATATGTCAAAACCCAAGAAGGGACTTTCATTCTAAATAAGGCTTTATTCAGTCAATAAAAGAGCAATAGATACGGGAAAAGCCAGTCAAAGCGTTCCCAATTAAAACCGTCCCGGTCAAAGCGTTCCCTGATTTTGGTCAAAGCGTACCATGATTTTGGTCAAAATGTCCCCAAATTTTGGTCAAAGCGCCCCCTGACATATTTTATAGAAATATAATGCTACAAAACAGCCCCCTAATTTTGGTCAATGCGCCCCCTGATTTTGGTCAAAGCGCCCCCTGACATATTTTTATAGAAAAACGAAGTTTCCAAAGCGCCCCCAAATATTGGTCAAAGCGCCCCCTGATTTTGGTCAAAGCGCCCTCTGACATATTTTGATCGAAAAAACGAAGTTTCCAAAGCGTCCCCATATATTGGTCAAAGCGCCCCCTAATTTTGGTCAAAGTGCCCCCTGACATATTTTTTATAGAAAACGAAGTTTCCAAATTGCCCCCAACTATTGGTCAATGCGTCCCCAAATTTTGGTCAAAGCGCCCCCTGACATATTTTTTAAACGAAAAACAACGTTTGAGGTTTGGTCAAAGCGCCCCCTGACATATTTTTATAGAAAAACGAAGTTTCCAAAGCGCCCCCAAATATTGATCAAATCACCCCTTGATTTTGGTCAAAGTGCGCCCCCAAATTTTGGTCAATGCGTCCCCTGATTTTGGTCAAAGCGCCCCCTGACATATTTTTTAATGGAAAAACAACGTTTGAGGTTTGGTCAAAGCGCCCCCAAAAGTCAAAGCTACACTACAGGTGTATAAATATAAGGATAAATCTATAAACTCGGTGGATACGATCAAGGAAAAATTTCTAATCAAGCTCATAAAAGTGGGTAATACTAAAATATGCCTGCCGACGCCTGCCAGGGGAAAATACGCCTGCCGAGAAAATGTATAGATTACGCCTGCCGTGTTATTAATGGAATTAATTGAGTTTTTGTTAGATATATTACTTCTTTAGACCCTGTAGTTAATGTTTTAGGAAACAACAATAATGTTAAAAGCACAGAATTGGGTTTTTAATCGTTTTAAAGTTTGCACACGGCGTGGAGCATGCCTGACGAAAAATCTAACGCCTGCGGCGTTGTTTCTCTAATTTCTCATTACAATATTTGAAATGTTACTTTGCAAAAGTATTTGGTTAATATTTGACAAAAAATTAATCAAAAAAAAATTAAATATATATTTTATTCATTTAGTGTTTGATACAAGAGTATATAGTATTAAAGGAGATAAATCTTACTCAGGAACTGCTGTGTGAAGACCATGGACATCATGTTTTTTCTTTCTTTCTTTTTTTAAGAAAAATATTATTGGTTTCATATTTATTTATAGAATTTACAATGACTCAGGAGCACATATGCAGTAAAAACTTTGCGATTTACGGGTTACCGTAGTTGTTTTGAATCAGAATCTGAAATATTTAATGTTAAACTTTTTAAACATCAATGAAATAATTATTATTTCCGATTTTCATGTTATATTAACTTATTATATGCAACAAAGTTATAAAAATAAATACAAAATTTTACAGGTAAGAGAAATGGTATAATTTAAACTATTCCTACACATCCATGTATACATCAAGCAGAGAAGGAAATAAACGAAATGAGTAAGAAAATCAGCATGTAATGTAAATGACATGTGTACAAAATATCGTTTATACCTGTATGTTCAAAATCATTCCTTTTCATTCATTTAGAGAAAAGGAAGATAAGGTAAATCAAATTCTAATGAAAAAACAAATAAGACATGCAGGCACTTGATGTTCCACACATCTCGAAAAAAAAAACAAAAACAAACAAACTTGGAACCCATACCTAGTAATTCGGTATGGGGTTCTATTTTATCATTATTTCAGATATAACGTCAAAGAATAGTCGGTAGAGTAAAATTTACTGAAAGCATGATGTGTTTATACTACATGTATGTATGCAACATGTATAAGAGATCTGGGCTGTCATGGAAATAAACAAAACTTTTAAAAAGTTACTAATTTTCAAAATATAAAACACATTAGTTTTTTTATCTTAATTAACATTTCAAAGTTTCACAATATCTTAGTCTAGGCAAGAACTCGATGATTTAAGAAAAGTGATGAAAGTAATCTATTTTATTCATTTATTTCAATTAGAGAGAAAATAATCCATTGAAAGTTCCAAATATTCTCGCTATATACGGTATATTATTTTTCTATCAACATGATCAAAATTCATTATTGTTAAAATTTGTTTACAATGATATGAATGTCTGAATTCATGTTTACTGTGTATACACGGACTTCAAATCTCAATGAAACTTAATAATCGATCTTCCTACCTGTGCGTAATATTATGTGGTATTACATAATTAGGTACATTACAAGTGAGAAGATTGGCACGTGCGCTATACACACTCCAAGGTGGGAAATCATGAACCAGAACCACAAAATCAGAATTAGTAAATATTTACATATCTGATTAAATAAATGAATTTTAAGAAAATATGGATGAAGGAAATTCCGAATTTAATACAAATGCATGTTTATCAAAATGTTGAAAAGATCGTCAATTTACATGTATAAAACATACCACACAAACTATTTACGTTCCAGAGCTGCAAATAATTTTTTTTTCAGTTCTTCCTCCTCAGATAAGTATTGTAGAAATTGTTAAAATGGTTAGTATTGTAGAAATTTTTATAATGGTTGCACAATCTGTATATCATGAATCAATTTACATGATCTTCATGGATGGTTTCCGTGGTTATTTCTTTCTTGTCTAAGATTTGGGTCTTGGACATATCTAGTTTTAAAATTCATAAAACATTTCTTTTTTAATTAGTTTGTTTTACATACATCAGCTTCAATGTTTATAAAAGTTAAGTATTTACGTCTTCTTAGACGAACAGAAAATATAAGGAATATAAAATATTGTAAAGTAGGAGATATCTCCTTTAATATTACTGCAAATCTCGTGTGTAGATTTTTATAAATAATTATCAAACATTTTTTCTTTTTTTGATTTGTTTATAATTAATTAAATGACAACCAAATAATTTATTAAAGTCATATATATATATATTTTTTTAAATAGTACATAATAAAAGAAACAACACCGCGGGCGTGTAGATTTTCTCGGCAGGCGTGCTCTAAGACGGAAGCAAATTATAAAACGAATAAAGCATCGGAAATGTGCTTTTTAAATTATTTTTGTTTGGTAATACATTAAGTAAATAGTCCATTAAATTAATATATGTAATAAAATTAACTTTAGTCAATAAATAACAAGGCAGGCATATAGATTTTCTCGGCAGGCGTATTTCCCCTGGCAGGCGTATTTTAGAAAGCATAAAAGTTCTCAGATGTTATTGACACCTAGGGGACACAATTTAAGTTTAAAGTAGCAAATGTACGTATATCTAATTGACCTTGAAATACTTCGGAAGTACTGCATGAACCCCCCCCCCTTTCCAGTTTAATAACATCATTTTTTTTCACACAATTTTTAACTGGGGGCGCTTTGACCAAAAACAGGGGGCTGTTTAGAAACTACGTTTTCCTATCAAAATATGACAAAATATGTCAGGGGGCACTTTGACCAAAATCAGGGGGCGGTTTAGAAACTATGTTTTTCTATCAAAATATGTCAGGGGGCGCTTTGACCAAAATCAGGGGGCGCTTTGACCAAAAACAGGGGGTGGTTTAGAAAGTTAGAAACTACGTTTTTCTATCAAAATATGTCAGCATGGTCAGGGGGCGCTTTGACCAAAATCAGGGGGCGCATTGACCAAAATCAGGGGACGGTTTAGAAACTACGTTTTCCTATCAAAATATGTCAGGGGACGCTTTGACCAAAATCGGGGGACGGTTTGACCAAAATCAGGGGACGCTTTGACCAAAATCAGGGGGCGGTTTTGTAGTATCATATTTCTATAAAATATGTCAGGGGGCGCTTTGACCAAAATCGGGGGACGGTTTGACCAAAATCAGGGAACGCTTTGACCAAAATCAGGGGGCGGTTTTGTAGTATCATATTTCTATAAATATGTCAGGGGGCGCTTTGACCAAAATCTGGGGATATTTTGACCAAAATTATGGTACGCTTTGACCAAAATCTGGGAACGCTTTGACCGGGGCGGTTTTAATTGGGAACGGTTTGACTGGATTTCATAGATACATGTATTCCTTGAGTACTTTTTATTAACTGCCGACAATCTTCTTTTGAAAGTTAACTTGTCGAGTTTCAGTTATTACCAGCCAGGGACGTAGCAAGGGGGGGGGGGGGGCAGGGGAGCCTGCCCCCCCCCACTTTTTTTGCCAACACTACTTTTACTATTGAAAATTTTCATTGATATGCTGGTTGCCCCCCCCCCCCCCCCACTTTATACTAAAGTAAAGTAATATGAAGGAAATATAGTATTGTACATGTAAGCTTAAAAAATGGATATTGAAAGAAGTGGTAGTGAAAAAAGTTTGCATCTACCCCCCCCCCCCCCCCCCCCTCCCCCCACGAAATAGGATTTTCGACTTTGGGCAATCCCCCCCCCTTTTTTTTTTTTGCTTGTCAACTTTTTCAGGTAAGTAAAAAAAATTACAGTGACTGGTCCCCCACTTTCAAAATCGATGCTACGTGCCTGCCAGCATTGGAAATTATATATATGATGCAACGCCAGTCTCTAACATTTTAATGACCTATGGCCTGATCCAGTAAAGTTAATTTATTATAACCCATAAAAGTCTTAAGTTTCCCTTTGCATTTCCAAAAGGTATGCATA